CAAACACTGAATCTGCTGGCACCTTGATCATGGACTCCCAAGCCTATAGAATCATGAGAAATGTTTGCTGTTTAAACCATCCAGTCTGTGGTAGAATGAAGAAAGGGAAGTTGAACAGAAGAAAAACAACTCTGTGTACTACTCGTGTTGGAAAGCCAGAACTGAAGTTGAAATCTTTGACTCTCCATTCCAGTTCTCTACTCATTACTGCTTATTCATTTAACACATATTTACAGAGTATTCTATCAGAATTGTATTTGGCTACAAGCAACAGTATACCCAGTCAACAGTGTCTTACATAGCAAAGGTCTAGAGACAAGAGGTAGTGTTGGCACTGTTTTCTAATACCATGCAGTCTCAGTTTCCCAAGCATGACACTGCACTTTCTTGCCTCTGATCCTTTGCCCGCTCCTCTGCTCTCCATCTCTACTTGTTAGTCATTCTCTTAGATCACTAGGGCTGCTATAACAGAAATACCACAGACTGGGTGGTTTATAACACCAGGCTGACACATACTTTCCTTTCTTCATATCAACCCTTAAGTTAGATCATGGCAACAGAACCTTAAGAAATATCTTTCAAAAATGGAAAGCAGTCATTCAAAAATGGTAATATTATTTTGTCATTTAGTATATTACATGGTGGCATTTCAAAGCATTGACAAAGAAAGTATTATTCATTAAATGATGTTGGAATAATTGACTAGCAATTTGAAAAAGAAATAACTAAATCTCTACCTTGTTTTCTATTCCAAAGTAAAATCCAGGTAATTCAGATTTAAAGGAAAAACATGAAAAATAATAAAGTTCTGGAAGAAACTATGGGTGACTGTTCTTTATAAATGAGAGATGGAAAAAGGCTTTTTAAGTGCGACAAATAAGTATAAACTCAAATACAGTGTAGGCCTGGGGTTAGGAGGACAGGTTCTAGAAGATACCACCTGGGTTGAAATCTTGGTTCCACACACATATTAGCTTTGTGACCTTGAAAAAGTCACCTAATCGATCTAAGCCTCAGTTTCCTCATCTACAAAACTATGATACCTATGTCAGAGGACTAAATAAGGAAAATAATTTTATGTGTAAAACATTCTGGAAGAATATAAACCAAAAGGACATAAATAAAATGTGAATGGTGGTTATTTCTAGTTGATGGAATTATGCGTGAATTCCGCCCCCCTTTTCTATAATCTATAGAAAAATATTTCTACTTTTGTATTTTGTGTAGTGAATTAAAATATTACTTCTCTCTGAGTGTCAGCATAGCATTGCAATTATGATCATAGATTCTGGTTACAATCACTTACTAGTTCTATGAGCTTAGACAAGTTACTTAGCCTCTATCTCAGTTTCCTCATCTGTAAAATGGAGATATTTCCACCATAGACTTAAGTGAACTAATATAGGTGAAGTGATTAGACTAATACCTGTCAAGTAGCGTTCTACGAACGTTTCAAATATTATTAATATTTTCTGTTCTAAGTCCTTTCTCTCAAAATTCCTATTCTTCAGAAGTCTTTAAGTCAACAAACTAAGTTACAGATATATGTGAGTAGCTCATTATAGTTTAATGCAGGTGTGTGTAGACTATAGCCAATGGCCAGGTGGCCCTTGAGTTAAGAACAGTTTTTACATTTTTAACGAGTGAAAAGACAGAGAGAGAGAGAGAGAGAGACAGAGAGAGAGACAGAGAGAAAAGAATTGCAAAAGAGACAGTATGTGGCCCACAAAGCCTAAAATATTTACTATCTGGGCCTTTTTGGAAAAAGTGTGCTGCCTATTGGCTTAATTTCTTTTCCCTTTCAAATATGCTTCTGATTTAAAACCACCATGTGACAAATACCAAGGAATAAATCTCTAAAGGTAAAATTTCAAGATACACTGTAAATAGGAAGGGATATAATTTTAGAAAAGGAAGATTTTATTCCATCTTGTGAATATTTGCTCCCCTGCTCTGTGGCAAGATAATGTTTTCTTCCGGTGGTTAAAAATCACTTCATGGTAATTGAAGGCATAGAACAGTAGGATCAAGCAACACAAAAGGTACTCTCACCAGGCTGAGAGGAATCTCAAGAAGAGTACTGTGTTTCTCTTGGCCAACTCTGTCCTGCGGATGATGGCAATCTAACTACTATGGGAATCCAGGATCATGTCGGGTCTGGAATCTGCAAATTTGCTAGGCTAAGTATCCAGTTCCTTGCCATAGACCTTTGTGATAATGATTCTAAAAGTAGGAAAGCTGACTCATGAAGTCTTTCTAGACCCTGGTTAGGCGTATTTCAGAGAAAGAAAGTTGCCAGTGCTAAAATCTTTAAAAATCTAAGGTTATTAAAAAATAATTGTTCTGAAAAGGGGGAAAGGTAGCTCTTTAGTTTGTTTGCAAACAGCAGGAGTATTAACAACCTGTACTAACAACTATCTGAGTAACTTTACAGTTTTACTCAGGCTTAAGCAATCTGCAGCCATTCCATTTGTTTTCATATGCAAACCATATAAAGTATATATGGTTTTCACTCAAAACCAATGACAACCAAGTAGTAGTCATTGCTCCTACTGGAGATAATGACAGCATTTCACAAGTCATTAACGATTAAACCTCTTTGCAAATATGAGAAGAAAAAAACAAATTGATGATACACGGTCTTAATCCAACCATTATTATACTTTGGTTGTTATTCTTTTCAGCATTTCATAATATGCATTTAAAATATATTAATAGTTAGAAAATTTGGGGCAGGAAATATGTAACTTGTTTTTAAAAGAATCAATTTCTTTTGCCTACAAGACATCACTAAAAACAAACTTAGTAATGTTGCTTAAGGAAGTCTGAAATAACCTTTGATAATCTATGTCAGTACAACAAAGCATGTGCTATAAATCACAGAAGACTTACTGGTCAAGAAGGTATAAGACATGCACTCTCTTGCTGCCTCCTATTCTAAGGGTTTCAGCATCTCACCTGTAAAGTAAGAGCACTGAGTCTCCATAGTCTCAACAGTCTTCTTAAAGCCTGAAGATGAATGATTCCTAAAAAAGATTTTATTGTTTTACATTCTGATTGCAAGGAAGTTTATAGATATAACATTTATATATTTATGCATATAAATTTATATATTTATATATACTAGTAAATACTAATTGGGATATAAAAGTTCCTTCCATGCAGAAATTCACATAAAGAGACCATTTCTAATTCTTCAGGACTTCTTTTTTTTTAACCTGGAGCAACTGAGGTAGATAGTTTCACTTACCAGATAGACTGGCTTTTTTTAGCCATTTAAAGTCCCAAAGGTAAATCTTTATCCTCATAAACCAACAAAACAGAAAGTTAATTCAAAACAAAGTGACAGCAACAAACCTGCAAGGAGTAATCTAAGTGACAGAGTGAGGATAAAACATTAATTGGTTCATCGGTGCAGAAATGAGATGAAGAAAATTCTACCATTATGCTCTAACATGGAGGAGGGTGACGCAGGAAATTCTTCCTTGCAGTAAAATTCAGGATCGACCTTCTCCCCTACTTTATTTTTTTAAGGACCAAACTACCCCTTCTTGTGGAAAATAATTTTGCAGCCTGAAGATTATTTCATTAATCTACGGATAATCCTTCTTTTCAGGGTAACAGTAGAATTGCCTTGAATGGAAATTTAATCTCCGTTGCCACCATCCCCAAGCAGGTGAGACTGAGGAGACCAAGAAGGTTTAAGGCGACGCCTCCAAAGGGTGGCAAAAACGCACTGGCTGTAGAGATTAAGATTCTATTGAAAATTTGATTTAAACAGCCTAAATTCGTCACAATTTAAAGAGAACCAGAAATAATCCGTGTCGTAAGCACTTAAGTCGAAGCATACTAGAATCGCTTCCCAGACTGAAGGCTGAGGCAGAATTCGGGACTAGCAGCCACACTCCAGGGTTTCTAAGGTGCTTCAACAACGAAACAACCTGGAACTGTTTCATGAGCCTTGGTTCACACGCGTTTTCCTGCACAAAAAGCCGATGTATTCATCTTCGTCATATTAATCACATTAATAAGCGTAACCATCCTACCAGGCTGCAAAATTAATGTATGTATCAGCGACTTTCCCACAGTGTGTCAAGGGAGTAAATGGATCTCCGCAGGAACTCTCGGCTTCTGGCCCAGCCGTCAGGAAAGCTCTGCGTCCCGCCCCGCCCTCCAAAATCAGCCTCAAGGGCCCTTCCAGCGCTTACCGCGGTCTCCTGCCGCCCTCTGCCGGGCCTCTGGCGTCGGACTACTGAGAGCAGTAGCGCGGCCCCCTGAGAGCGCCACGAGGATGACGTCACTTTTGAGCGCCGCCCGTGGCCGGAAGTTATTCTTCTCCACTTCCGTCCCTCGATTCCGCTCCAGACACCGGAGGCGGGAGTAAAGCTCTTTACCGCGCTTAGTTACAGTCCAGGTTGAGGTCGGTGACTCGCTGCCGCTAAGCTTTTTCATTTTTAGAAGCGGGTCTGGGTGATTGTGTTGTATAGCGGAGTCCCATCCCTAGCAGCTCCTTGAGGAGTTTCCTTGTAGAAAGAGGGGTGAGGAGAACAAGTGGAGTGGAACCCGTAGGTTCGAATCTTGCTTCAGCTAAGTCAAGTTAGTAGTGAAGTTCGGCGCTTTTTCTGATTTTGTAATTTTAGGAATGATACCTACCTTTAAGCTGTGGAGTTTAAGTAAGATAATGTATATGAAGCACTGAGTTTTGGTTTTACGAATCATTTTTTATTCAGCTACCGTTTTCCATCATACTCAGGAACGTACCTGGCATTTTCTTGTCAGTTATCTCTGGGAGATTCTTAGTATACAAGAGATTATGCATCTCACGGGAACATTATACAGTGTTATGTGAGATTTAGCTCTTTGTTTTGTGTTACGAAGTCCTGACAATATTTTGTCCCACCCTCCCTTTTATTTTTACATTTCTAGGGACGTCAGCTTTCCAGTTTTTCTGGAGGATTGCAAAGCCTTCTTTCCTTAAGACAAATGAGGTGAGAAATGCATTGTTGTAAAGATCTCCAAATTTAGCTCGTTATGTCAAAAGAAGACCAACTGAATGTTGTATCCTGGAACCAGTGGTTACCCATTTCCATTAAAAACCTCTTTGTCCAGGGAATTGTGGAGCAGAGGGGAACATAAATCCTTTTTTATTCCTTAGACCTCACAAGTTACAGGTACAGAGATTTTCAGTATATTTGTTAATTTTGGCCTTTAGCCCTTGCCTTTGGTTAGTTAAAATGTCAGTATGAGAGACAGATTGAAATAAATTATAGACTATTAATTACTTTTGTAATTCTTAGATTGAGGCATTTGATAATCTTGCATTAGGCTGCTGAAATATTTACTCACCTTGCTAGATATAATAGGACTATTTTGAATGGATATTAGGTGCTAAAATAATATTGATGTTTATCAGGTTTAACTTTTTTGTGTTGGAAACTGAAAAACAGCTTTTATTCAATTTTCCCCCCTCTCTGTATATATTAATGTCCCCCTTTTTTTTTGATCTTACATTTTCTGAATTTTTTATTTTTATACAGTTTTTAAAGATTGTATTCCATTTACAGGTTTTACAAATACTGGTTTTATTTCCCGTGTTGTACAATACATCCTTGTAGCCTACCTTAAACACCCAATAGTTTGTACCTCCTCTTTCCCAACCCTATATTGTCCTCCCCAACCCCATCACTGGTAATATCTGTGAGTCTGCTTTTTTAAAATTATATTCACTAGTTCTTGTATTGTTTAGATTCTACATATAAGTGATATCATACAATATTTGTCTTTATCTGTCTTATTTCATTTAGCATAATGCCTTCCAAGTCCATCATGTTGCTGCAAATGGCAAAAATTTCGTTCTTTTTTATGGCTGAGTAATATTGTATTGTATATATGTATATATACTACATTTTCTTTATCCATTCATCTGTTGATGGACATTTAGGTTGCTTCCATAGGTTAGCAATTGTAAATAAAGTTGCTAGAATGCATGTATTGGGTGCATATATCTTTTTGAATTAGTGTTTTTGTTTCTTTCAGAGATATACCACGAGTGAAATTGCTGGGTCATATGGTAGTTCTGTTTTTAGTGTCTGAGACCCCTCCATACTGTGTTTTTTTTTAACTTTTTTTTTTTGAGTTACAGTTTCCATACTGTTTTATACAGTGGGTACACCAATTTATGTTCACACCAACTATGTATGTCCCCTCCTCCCTTTTTATGTAAGTGATATTATCCTAGCCATACTGTTAAGCAGTTTGCCACTTAGAATATCTTGGACATCTGTCTATTGTGTTAGATCTGCCTCATTTTTTAAAGCAGGCTATATAGTATTATACTGTATACATATATGACAATTTATTAATCATTCTGCTATTGGTGGCCATTTGGTGGTTTTTTTTGTTTGTTTTTTGTTTTTGCTATGGCAAATAATATTATAATGGTCATCTTTTTTTTTTAATAACAAATGTGCATTCTTACCCTTTGTTTTCTTTGAATAATCTCCAAGTAGTAGAAATGCTGGATTAAAAGGTATGATGGATGGTGCCAAATTCCCTTACAACAGTGATATTTGAGAATTTCCCCTATTTTCTCATATGTTCAACTGTTGATATTAGTTACCATTGTTCTTAGGCTTAGCTGAGACTGCTCACACTATTTTCTTGGGTCAATTTATTGCAATTACATTATTGCAATCAAAAGCAAGTTTTTGTTGCCAGTTCTAAGTCCAGTTCAACTCTTTTTTTTCCCTACATGAGTAGAATACTTAGTTTTACATTCATTAATAACAAATTACTATGAGACAAATGATTCACTTTAACGTTAAGTCGAAGATTTGTGGGAAAATGCTATTTGAATGGGATGTTGTACTATGGATGGACATCGGAAGGATGGCCTTTCTGAATGACAGAACAACTTAAGCAAAGGCAGGGAAACAAGAATGGTCAAGGGTATTTAGGCTTAGAGATTTGAGAAGCAGTGGTACTTGGTTGTGAGGTTGTAGAACAGAAGAGACAGCTAGAAAGGTCAGTCTGAAGATTTTACCTTGTAGGGGAGAGCTACAAAGATTTTTAATCAGGGAATGAGGGGCATAATCACATCTTTGTTTTACAAATGTACTATGGTGGCAGTTTTAGTGACTGATATTAGAGAAGCAAGTTAGGCAGCTGTTATAGACCGAGTGAGAGAATAGCAAAGAGTGGAGTGGTTGGATTTCAGAGATACTGCCAGCTGAATATAAATGATTTGATGACTGTGAGGTTGACGAAGAGAAAAAAAGCAAAGCTTACTTCCAGACTTTTTTTTATCATGAATGACTATTAGCATAATACTGACTTCATTAATCAGAGGAGAGCTAGTTTGTTTGAGGGCTGAGAAAGATACTGTTTGGGTTTGGACATGTTAATTTGAGTGAAAGATCTTTCCCTGAAGAATGAATTATAACCAAAGACATAAAATCCACCTATGACAGATTCAGAAGAAACCTTAATTTATTACTCTTTTGTTGAGAAATTTGGCATGTTTTTACTTACTTTAGTTTGTCACTAGTAAATTTTTTTAACTCTCTGTGGCTTGTTAAGCCCTGTTTATCAGGAGTAGAGTGCATTGCCTAGAGTAGTGACCTTCAGACTTTTTTGATCATTTACACACAATAAAAAAAGATTTGTACATGTACCTCCAATATATGTATATTTATGTACTGATTAGTTACATACATGTTTTATAGTACTATTATATTATATGCATTCTAAAGCATATAAAAATAGAAATTTTAAAAGGTCAAGACAAATATAAGTTGCAGTTTTACTGTTTTCTTCGTGCATCCCATTGGATCATCTTGTACCCCTCTTCGGAAAGCACTGGCCTTATCTACAGCTGTCAGTGTTCTGTCCCATTATCCAGTAGAGGTCACCCTTGAGCAGCTGGAAGAGAGAACAGGTTGAGCTGTGCAAGGTAGACTTCATTCTTTAGGTAGGAGAATCTTACTATTTATTTTCTTTCTTTCTTTCTTTCTTTCTTTCTTTCTTTCTTTCTTTCTTTCTTTCTTTTTCTTTTCCTTTTTCAGTTTTATTAGGTAGAATTATTACAGTTTGACTGCACATACACATATTACATGTAAATACATATATACAGTATACTGCACCTTTTTTTTAGTTTACATATATTATTAATTATTGTTTCTGGAACAGATTAGGTCTTTAGCTTTTTAAACTTACATAGTTATCAAAGGAATAAAGCCAACTACAAAATAAGAATCAACAGAATGTGGTAATCCAAGCATAAAAGACAGTCAAATGTGCATACACATTATTTTTAAGTTTTTAAATTCATGCATTTTGGGAAGAGTGTGCAGTTACAGAGTAGTAAGTGGTGTTGTAGAGACGTGAAGAATAATGAACACAGAATATGGGGCAATCTGAAATGTGCTTTTGCTGTTGTTTGATGTTTACTTTGTGAGTGTCCTGCATTTTGTTTGAATGTTATTTGAATCTATTATTTTGGAATCTTTTCCTAATTCTTTGAGGATCTGTAGGTTATCTGAGTTACAGAAATGTTCCAGCCTTATAGGCATGATCCAAATTCTTGTTAAATTGAAGTAATTAAAAGGACAGACACAGAGGAGCTTTTTTTAATATGGATCTTGAAAGCTGGTCAATGTAAAAGTTGCTGAATTGTTACCATGGCACCAGGAGCACAAGAAAAGCTGGATATCTAGGTATTTTCTTATAGAAGTGACCATGATCCTTATAGGGTCCTAATATAGTCTTTTATCTGTTTAACGTGTGTGTTTGTATAATATTATATATGTTGTTTTACACAGCATTCCGAAAAGTTTGGGCTACCTGACCATTATGGCACCAAGAAACCTCTTGTGTATGAGAAGTAACTTTCTCTTTGGTTCAAGATGTTGGATGATCCACTTTTCAGCAGAGATCCTTCTTAAATCAGTTTCATTTAGGCTTTTTGGTGTGAAGCATGGTAATGCATACAGTGAGTCTTTGGCAAATGAAGAACTGCTGAATAACTTACTTACTATGGGAGTCGATGTTGACATGGCAAAGAAAAGGCAGCCTGGAGTTTTTAATAGGATGGGTACCAATGAACAGGGCCTGAAGACATTTCTTCTGTCTAAAGGAGCTAGCAAAGAAGTGATTGCTAGCATCATATCAAGATACCCACGAGCCATGACACGCACACCTGAAAGTCTTTCATATCGGTGGAATCTGTGGAGAAGAATTATGACATCAGACCTTGAAATTGTAAATATTTTGGAGCGTTCCCCTGAATCCTTTTTTCGGTCCAGTAACAACCTAAACTTAGAGAATAATATAAAGTTCCTCTACTCGGTTGGATTGACCCGTAAATGCCTTGGTCGATTGTTGACCAATGCCCCGCGTACGTTCTCCAATAGTCTTGATCTGAATAAACAGATGGTTCAGTTTTTGCAAGAAGTCTGTTTATCTTTGGGTCACAATGATCCCACAGATTTTGTCAGGAAGATAATTTTGAAAAACCCTTTCATCTTAATTCAGAGCACCAAACGGGTAAAAGCTAACATTGAGTTTTTACAGTCAGCTTTCAACTTGAACAATGAGGAGCTGCTTGTTCTGATATGTGGTCCAGGAGCTAAGATCCTAGACCTTTCCAATGATTGTGCCAGAAGAAACTACACAAATGTGAAAGAGAAGCTGTTTTCTCTGGGATGTACTGCAGAAGAGGTACAGAAGTTTGTTTTAAATTATCCAGGTTTGATTTTCTTGGGAGAGAAGAAGTTTAGTGATAAAATAGACTGCCTCATGGAAGAAAAAATTAGCATTTCACAAATAATTGAAAATCCTCGAATTTTGGATTCCAGCATAAGTACTTTAAAAAGTCGAATCAAAGAATTGGTAAATGCTGGCTATAACTTGAGTACATCAAATGTCAGTCTTTTGTCTTGGAGTCAAAAAAGATATAATGCTAAATTGAAGAAGTTACATAATCACTAGAACGCTGTTCTGGGGAATTAAGAAAAAGTCAGTCTTATAATGTAGTGATATAATTTCATTTTGAATCTGGACCTATTAAAAAGGAGAGGTTTGATTTCTTAACTACATGTATAATGTTCCTTTGGGTGTTTTACTTTAAAGGTTCGTAAAAACTCATGCTTAGTATGCTCAAGTATCATCTTCCCAGCTACCTTTTCTGTAGCTTGAATTAATACAACATCCAATTTTATGGTGCAGGCTGTGGCTGTTGTATGAATGGTAATTGCTGACTGCTAAGGCAGAACAGTGTGTAGAAAGAAAGTATAAAATAAGCTTTTTTGATTTCTGTTAGATTTAAAGATGGACAGATTCATCTGGATAGTTCTATTTCTTCTCATTGTTTTGAATGGCAACCTATTTCACCTGTTATTTCATGCATCTAAGTACAGTTCCTCTTCAAAATAAAATGCCAGGAAATATCTGAAAACAGAAAGGAAGAATTTTTCATCCCAAATTCTACATACTCCATTTAAACCAGTATGCTTCCCGTTCCCCAGTTTAGGCTCAATTCACTGTGAATATTTTCTGATTTCTTTGAGGACAAGGGCAATGGTGCTTGTCAGGATAATGCTCACCCAAAGATAACAGTCCTAATTTTCAGAACCCATGGATATGTTACATTACGTTGCAGAAGGACTTTTTAGATGTGATTAAGTTAAAGACCTTAATTTAAGGTCCTGAGTTGGGGAGACTATCCTGGATTATCTGGATGGGCCCAGTGTAATCAAAAAGGTTCTTAAAAATGGAAGAGGGAAGTGAAAGAAGAAGTCAGAGTTACGCGATGTAAGAAGGACGATGCACTTTTCCTTTGAAGGAGGAAGGGGACATGAACCAAGGAATGCAGGTGGCCTCTAGAAAATGGAAAAGATAAGGAAGCATTCTCCCCTAGTTAGAAAGGAATGCAGCCGTGCCAAGACCTTGAATTTAGTCCAGTGAGACCCATGTCAAACTTCAGACCTACAGAACCAGAAGATAATAAACTTGCGTTGTTTTAAACCACTGAGTTTGTGATAATTTGTTATAGCAACAAATAGACATGTAGCAACTAAATAGATGATTATTTGCATTTTAGGTGAACAAGTGTACCTTTTAGTATCATATCTGTATTTCTTCCTCTCAGAATATATCCACCCATCTTTCTGGAATGGCTAATAAATTAGTGTTTGTAAAGCCCTCTAAATGTATGGGTAAAAAGACTAAATGTAAGTAATAAAATCTAAATAAAGGAATATTTTTGCCTAATGAATGTAGTTTAAAGAAATAGTGATAGTTTCTGTATATTTATGTTTTGTTGGTGTTTTTTCTACTATAAAGAACCAGGAATTTCTAAAGTCATTAATTTAAAAGAGAAACATGCTATCTGTATCTTGAAGACGTTCACAATCTAGCTCTGATATAAACTGAAAGAGAAGGAACAAATTATATGATCTTAATTACTTTTGTTTTCCAGAGGCATTTGTTTTCTAAATATGGGTTTTGAATTAACAATGGCACTTAACCTTTTAAGCTTCCTTTCTTTCTTTTTTTTCTTCTGTTGAAATATGGTTGATTTACAATTTTATGTTAGTTTCAGGTGTACAGCATAATGATTCAGTATTTTTACAGGTTATATTCTGATTTCTACAAGACAATGGTTACTACAAGACAATGGATATAATTTCCTAAGCCTTATTTCTTATCACTGATTTCCCCCCCAAAAACTTATTCCCACCACTGATAGAAACAAAATGCCTATTTTTTCAAGGCCATTTGTGTATCAGTGATACTATAATTATTTGCAATAAATTATTTAATGGCAAGCAAGGGCTTCATAGAGACATTTCATCAAAGTGATATATCTAGACACCATTCCTAACTAGCTCTGTAACTTTGTGTAAATATTTTCATTTTACTGAACTTGTTTCCTTGTCTATAAGATTAAAAACTGACCTCACAAAGTTGCTAATCAGGTGATACAGGGTCTCTTAAGTTTCTTGCACATAGTAACTATTCACTGGTAGCTGTAATCAATAGTTAACAGTAGCATTTTTAAAAACAGCTTTATCAATGTATTATTCACATATCATATAATATACCAATTTAAAGTACAGAGTTCAATTAAAAATATTCCTAACACCATATAATAATCACCACAATCTAACTTTAGAATGTGTTTGCACCCTTTAAAAGAAACCCTGCATCTATTAGCAGTCAATGTGCATTGTCCCCTCCCACTTCCTTGGCCCTAAGCAACCATTGATCTAGTTTCTCTCTATAAATTTACCTATTCTGGACATATCATATAAATGGAATCATACAATATATGGTTTTTTTGTGACTGACTTCTTTATCAGCATAATGTTTTTAAAGTTCATTCTTGTGGCATGTATCAGTATGTCACTCCTTTGTACTACCAAATAATATTCTATTGTCTGGATACAGTACTAGTATTGGGAGTAAGTTATATTGTCATGACTTAAAACATGAAGTATTAATTCCTTAAAGTCTTCAGACTTGTATGGGAGTACTTTTTGAGGTAGTACTTTGAAATCTAACAAGTTTATAAGGAATGTGAGGGAGATGGGCAGAGGAAATAAAGGCTTATTGGCATCAACTGGTCATGAGGATTTTACCTGGGCTGACAAGAGCTGATACAGCAGCAACAGTTGCCAGTGGCCATGGAGAATGTGGTGTCACCAGAAGTAAAATATAGCACCCATTTAGGGGACTGGGGAAGGACAACTTCTTTGTAGAAACAAATGGATAATGCTTGTTAGGCAAGATTAATATGTCACATTTTAAGATTTGAGTCTGCCTGAGAGAGAGTCAGTTCTTTAAAAAAAATATTTAGTTCTAGGCATGTCTTGGGGATTATTGCTGGTTTAGTCAATTCCAGATGACTGCAGTAAAGCCAGTCACATGGATTTCTTGGTTTCCCAGTGCATATGAATGTTATGTTTATACTATAGTTGTAGAGTTATGTTCATATATCTACCAAGTGTGCAGTGGCATTATGTCTAAAAAATGTGCATTCCTTTATTAAAAATACTATATTGCTAAACAATGCTAGCCATCATCTCCTTTTGGCTGGTAAAGAGTCTCGCCTGGATGTTAATGGCTGCTGACTGATCAGGGTGGTGGTTGCTGAAGGTTGAGGTGGTTGTGGAAATTTCTTAAAATATGACGACAATGAAGTTTGCTCCATGAATTGACTTTTCCATTCATGAATAATTTGTAGTACGCAGTGCTGTTTGATAGCATTTTACCCATAGTGGAACTTCTGTCAAAATTGAAGTCAGTCCTCTCAAACCCTGATGCTGCATTATCAACTAAGTTTGTTCCATAGCCTAAAGCCTTTGTTGTCATTTCAGCAACCTTCACAGCATTTCACAAGGGGGAGTTTCCATCTCAACAAGCTGCTTTCTTTGCTTATCCGTAAGGAGCAATTCCTCATTCTTAAAAATTTTATCATGAGATTGCAGTAATTCAGTCACATCTTTAGGCTCCACTTTTAATTCTAGTTCTTTTGCTATTGCATCACATCTGCATTCCTTCCTCTAGTGAAATCTTGAGCCCCTCAAAGTCATCCATGAAGGTTGGATTCATTTTCTTCCAAGCTTATGTTAATGTTGATATTTTGGCCTCTTCCCGTGAATCATAAAGGTCCTTAATGACATGTAGAATGTTGAATCTTTTCCAGGTTTTCAGTTTACTTTGCCCAGATCCATAATACATATTTAAAATTTTCTTATAACCACATTAGAAAAAGAAAGTAAAAAGGGAAATTAATTTTCATAATATATTTATTTAACTCAGTATGTCCAAAATACATTGTATGTCTATTTAGGTCCTTTGCCCATTTTTAATTGAATTATTATTATTATTGTTGTTGTTATTGTTGTTATTGTTATTATTATTACTATTGAGTTGTATGAGTTCCTTATATATTTGGACATTAACTCCTTATCAGATAGATGGTTTACAAATATTTCCCTCCATTCCGTAGGTTTCCTCTTCACTCTCAAGGACCTTTTCTCTTATCCCTATGTCATCTTTTATTCCCTGTGTTCTCTTCTAGGAGTTTTATAAATTCAGATCTTATATTTAAGTCTTCTATTAATTTTTAGTTAATTTTTGTAAGTCATGTAATATAGGGATCCAGTTTCATTCTTCTGTATGTAATTATCCAGATTTCCCAACATCATTTATTGAAGACACTCTCCTTTCCCTATTGAGTAGTTGTGGCTCCCTTTTCAAATATTAGCTGACTGTATTTGTATGGGTTTACTTCTGGCCTCTTGATTCTGTTCCATTGATCAATGTGTCTCTTTATGCCAGAACAACATTGTTTTAATTACTGTAGCTTTGTGATATAGATCTTCTTTATTTCTCGAATTGCTTTGGCTAGTTGGGGTCTTTTGTGGCTCCATATGAATTTTAGGATTTTTTTCATTTCTGTGAAAAATGCCATTGGGATTTTTTAAATTGAAGTTTGGTTGATTTACAATGTGGTGTTAGTTACCGATGTACAGCAGAATGATTGAGTTATACAAATGTATCTGTTCTTTTTCAGATTCTTTGCCATTGGAATTTTGATAGAGATCATATTTAATTCATAGATGACTCTGGGTAGTATGGACATTTTAACAACATTAATTCTTCTGATGCATGATCAAGGGATATCTTTCCACTTATCTGTGTCTTCTTCAGTTTCTTTCATTAAAGTCTTACAGTTTTCACTATACAGATCTTTCACCTCTTGGTTAAATTTATTCCTGAGTATTTTATTGTTTTTGATACTATCGTGAATGAGATTGTTTTCTTTATTTCTTTTTCAGACATTTTTTTGATACTGCATAGAAATGCAACTGATTTTTGTATATTGATTTTGTATTTTATAGCTTTACCAAATTCATTGACTAGTTCTAACAGTTTTTTGGTGAAAGTCTTTAGAATTTTTTGCATATAAGATCATATCATCTGCTAACAGGGAACGTATGATCTGCTAATAAAGCCTCTGTTGCTTGAATGTGGGCATCACATTCTCCTGGGGATGCCTGGTAACCATCTGCAGGCCACATAAGCAAGCCTATTTTTTTAGGTTCTTTGTAGCCATGAGATTTTTGCATTCTATTAGTGAGGTAGCCTCTGAAATTTCTGTGCCCAGTTTCGTATATGGATTTTACATCTGAAAGTCTGCATAGGAACCACCTGGAACAATGATTCTAAAACCTGGTTGATCAGATCTTTACAGTCATCCATTGAACTCTTGCTTTTATTTTTATTTAAGATCTTTTTGTTTGAAACCTAGCAGTTATTTCCCTACCACAGGGAATTTTTCACTATTTGTCCCCCTCCATAGGCTCTAGCTTTATGTCATATAGCTCATCTTTCTTTAGACTTTGATTTTACTTCTTTTGTGTCTTACCCCTCTTTTCCAGGTTCTAAGGTACAATGCCAAAATTCTCTGATTGTTGATTGACCTTGGACATCAATTTAAATATTGTTGCCTGAACTCACTTTGCATTCTGAATCCATTTGTACCTTCAGGGCTGTATTCCATGAGCACGTATTAATACTGTTTTATTTTGCTTTTTTTTTTATAGGTTAGAGATCATTCTTTATCAGTACACAAGGAGCTGCTTCTTCCTTTATTAATAGCTGCATGGCAGTCTCTTGGATGGGTGTACCAGTATTTATTTAACTAATCTTAATTGATGGGCATTTAATCGACTGCCATTAAAAACATTTCTACAGGAATTTCTTTCTTTCCATATCATTGTTCACATGTGCAAAGTAACTGTAGGACATATTCTGAGAAATAGAATTGTTGGATCAAGAGGTTTATGCATTTAAAATTTTGATAGATATTGCCAGACTGCCTTCCATTGATGTTGTACCAATTACACTTCTACCAACAGTGTGTGAGGATGCCTATTTCTCTTCCACCAACAGTAGGTTTTCAATTTTTTTGACCATTGCCAATCTGATACGTAAAATTAGTATCTCCTGACTTCAGTTTCTATTTCACTATGAGTGAGGTTGAGCATCTTTTCATGTATTTAAAGCCTCATGTATTTCTTTTTCTTTAAATTGTCTTTTTATGTCTGTTTCTTATTAACATTTTTATTGATTTATAATCATTTTACAATGTTGTGTCAAATTCCAGTGTAGAGCACAATTTTTCAGTTATACATGAACATATATATATTCATTGTCACATTTTTTCCTCTGTGAGCTACCATAAGATCTTGTATATATTT